GAGTGCCAGGTTTTGAAGATGCAGCTGCAACAAGAACTAGAGCTACTAAATGCTTATCAGAGCAAAATTAAGATGCAGGCAGAGGCTCAACATGATCGGGAACTGCGTGAACTGGAACAAAGGGTTTCTCTACGCAGGGCACTTCTTGAACAGAAGGTAAGTAGAAGGTTGTAATGTGTCCTGGCATTGCAGAGGGTTGATTTTTTTTTTTGCACTAATTTTTTTACCTCCTGAAGATGATTACAGACAGTCAAACTTGCAGACAAAAACTGACCATTGGAATATATTTTTTTGGGGCAGTTTCCTGCAGAATCATAGGCATTAATAGTGCCTGTTTATATTTTAAAGGACAAATTATTCAATAATATGAGCTGTCATAAAAGTGTGCTTGACCATTAGGTGTTTTTCTTCTGCTATAGGCATGAAATCCAGGCTGGCCTGTTCAGGTAATGATAATCTCATGTCTATGGCAAGCCCAATTTTTAGTAGTAGTAAAAGGGGTATAGTACGATTTTTATTTATTTTTTCAATGGTCTTATGCTCATGTGTAGCCGTTTCTGATCAGTCTGTGTTTAGATGCTTTTCTCAGGGAAAGAATTTGAAAAAATCTCTGCAGAGAGCCCCGTTCACACTATGGAGCATACTATCATGTGTCACGCATATGCTTGTGCTTTAGCGCATTGGTGTGCTTCATATAAAGGGCGACCTTTTCATTTGATTGGGTTGCCTTACATGCATCAAAGAAGTCTTGTAGTAGGTTGTACCAAAATGCTTATGACTTGCTGTTTCCAACTTGGAGAATATCCTTTATTTTGTTAGGTTATTGAGTTCCTGATGGGGAAAAAGTACATATACTTTTGTCTGCTCTCTCTAGGTGTCATGTAACTTTAGCTACCAAGTCAGATAAGCTAACCCCCTCCCTGCCACATGGCTGGCCAACTCTGCAGCTAGCAAGAAGATGGCTGCTTTGCTTTTTTTAGTGCCTGTCTCCATCTTCCAGCATGCAGAGTTTGGTGAGGTGAGCTAGCCTCATGTTTCTCTGCATTCCACCTGCTGGTTGGTGCTTGCATTGCGAAAGTGCTAGGAGTGTGAGACAGACACTACAAAGCTGCCATCTTCTTGCTAACTCAGGTTTTGGGTGGCCAGACCCGAAAGGTAGGGCGTCATGTCTGACATCACAGCTAGTGTTACAAGGTACCAAGGAATATGGGAACTCAATAATGTAAAATGGAAAGGTAACAATTCTTTGATGTTTTTTTATGATAAGGTCAGAGGTAGGGTTTCCTTTATTTGACTGTACCATGCAGACTATATTTGTGAAAAGCTGTGCTGTACAGTCTTTTCTACAGGTTCTTTAAGGGAGTCTGCATTTTGTTTTTTCTTACCCAACAATGACAATTAACTTTTATTTAAGCATTCCAAATAGAAATTACTGCAATAAACTTTAAAATAGCCCCTGCCTTTTAGGAGTTGCTAATCTTTATTTTCAGATCCTCACTCAGCTGTGTAGAGACGTTCTTGCCCGTTGGATGTAATCACAACAACATGAGACATTTTCAAGGAACAGAGAATTAAACGCCTAAATTGTTTTCACATTACTTGATTAAGGCCTAATAAACCATTTAGGCAGTTTAAACTTGTTGTGATAGGCACTTTAACCTCTTCCTGACCTAGTACTGCTACAGGGCAGCAGAGATGTGCAAAATAATGTGTGTGTATATGAATGTATGTGTATATATATATATTTTATATGTGATTTTGTATTTCCGGGCAGGGGATGCTCGGTCTCTCCTTACCCGCGCCGCTATTGGCTCCTCGGCATGTCAATCACCGGGTCCCGGCTGCCGATTCTCGGCCGGGACTCTGTGATCATCGCCGGAGCTGACAGGGGAGATGTCTGTATATAAACAATACAGATCTCTCCCCTGTCAGCACGAACAGGCTGCTTTGTATTGCTCTGCACAGTAGAGCAATACAAAGCAGCTTGTGTACATAGTAAAACACACACAGCACACTGTTAACCCTTTGATTGCCCCAGATGTTAACCCCTTTAGCCCAGTGTCATTAGTACAGTGTCAGTGCTTTATATTAGCACTGATCACTGTATTAGTGTCACTGAAGATGTCAGTGGCAGTTAGTTCCCCTCCAGTGTCAGAATGCCCGCCACAGTCCCGCAATAAGTCGCTGATTGCCACCATTACTAGTGGGGAAAAAAAAAATTCCAGTATATATACCACCATTTATAGATGCTATAACTTTCACATAAACCAATTCATTTACACGTATTGAGATTTTTTTTTTTTTTTAACAAAGACATGTAGCAGAATACATTTTGGCCTAAATCTATGAAGAAATTTTTTTTTGTTTTGTTTTTTATTGGAAAAGTTTAATAGCAAAATAAAAAAAATATTTTTTTTTCAAAATTGTTGGTATTTTTTTGTTTTTAGCAGAAAAATTAAAAACCACACAGATGGTGATCAAATACCATCAAAGAAAATTTGAGGGAAAAAAGGACATAAATTTCATTTATGTACAACATTGCATGACCGTGCAATTGTCAGTTAAAGTAACGCACTGCCGTATTGCAAAAAATGGCCTGGTCAGCAAGAGGGGTAAATCCTGTAGAGGGCAAGTGTTTAAACAGTTGAAACCAGTGGATGGAATAGGAAGGTGTCCAAATGTTCTCACCTGCCATATTTGAACTTTTAAATTTTACAGACTATGAAATCCTGTAAATGGCAGTGGTGCATGAAATGTAAATGTTCAGCAGTTTTACATGAGACATTATAGAAACAAGTTTGTGTACTTTGTTCATGTTCTAAAATTCTTACCTGGTTTGATGCCTTTTTTTCTAGATTGAAGAAGAAATGCTGGCTCTTCAGAATGAGAGAACAGAGCGAATACGAAGCCTTCTTGAACGTCAAGCTCGTGAAATAGAAGCATTTGACTCTGAAAGCATGAGACTAGGTTTTAGCAACATGATACTTTCCAATCTCTCCCCCGAGGCGTTCAGCCACAGCTACCCGGGAGCTTCTGGCTGGTCCCACAATCCCACTGGAGGCCCTGGACCTCATTGGGGTCACCCCATGGGAGGCCCACCACAAGCCTGGGGCCACCCAATGCAAGGTGGGCCCCAACCATGGGGTCATCCCTCAGGGTCTGTGCAAGGTGTCCCTCGTGGTAGTACAATGGGGGTCCGCAACAGCCCCCAGGCTCTGAGGCGGACAGCTTCTGGGGGACGGACAGAGCAGGGAATGAGCAGGAGCACAAGTGTTACTTCACAGATATCCAATGGTTCACACATGTCTTATACATAACTGCAAGAAGAACTTAATGGCCATTCCTTTTGACCATTCAACACAAACTGCCTACAGATGTCCTCACAGCAGCTTCCTCAATGGTACTGAGCAGCTGCAAAAATAAGGC